CTAGTATTTCAGTATAAAGACCAGAATGGATTGGCTTTAGTAAGATACGGTTTTTTTAGAGTGCTCTTAAGGCTTTTTCACTGCTTATCATGCTTTGTACAATGTAAGCAATAGAGCGACCTTCTTACCCTTCTTTTGATGATTCACATTATTCCTTTTTTTTAATAAATTTCATATGAACTCCTTTCATCTGTCAGCGACTACTTATCTTGTGAGGGAAAACATTCTACCATCAAACTTGACGCTGTTAATAAATTCACTTTGTATGATTATGGTCGCAAGCTGCGTTTGGGGCAAAAATTTGGTATCGCATGCTTTGGATCATTTAGCAAGAGGATCAAGTTGCCACATGCTTTAATTATTATTTCTACTTTATCCTCTTTATTTATCTTTTCTAATAAGCGAATATGAATAAATTCACTAGCAAACCCTTTATTGCCTTAAGCGACCTAGAGTGACTACATTTCTTATTTTTGAAGTGAATTAAGTTAATGAAAAATGATGTGCTAATCGGATCATATTGGCCACCTTTGCATGTAGATGAACATGCCTTAAGACTTAATTGGTGCAGGAAATGTAAGGCCTTTGAACCAATCATAAATCAGAATGCCGTCAGTATTCGCAAACCTAAATACAAAAACATCTCTGACGTCATACGTTTAAAACAAGCCACCATTGCCTTCTTTAAAGAGTTATTATTCTATACCATTAAAGAAAATTGATTTAATTATGAATATCAAGCCGATGTAGACTTTAGTTTGGTCTCAGCCTCCTTTTGCTTCATAAACTTGGTTTGATTTTGTTTTGGCTAGTCATTTTTTGTGTGGGATTCGATGGTCCAAATTGTACCAAATGGTTTGGTAAATCTGAAGGGTTTGGGAAACTGATAACATTAGAGTCTAAGGGGTGATTTTGAGTACAACAAGAAATACTTCCCTATTTAATTTAATCTCTTCGTCTTGACAATAAATTATTGGCCTTTATTATTTTGCTATTGTATGCAACTCTTTTCAATACCTTATTGTGGATAGTAAAGGCATAATAATATATATATTCTTTGCTCAAAGTTAGGTTTTTCATTATTAGTAGGTATTGATACAAGGAACTCTAGTCATCATAGGCTGCATAAGGTAATAAAGGACTGAAAATTGGTATCGTCTCCAATCTAAATGCACGACCCAGGTTCGATTTTTATTGGGGGTATTGGTGAGACCCAGACGAGGTCGAAACTACATCCACTTTGGATGAAAATGTCTTTTGCGAGGCAATGCTAAGCCAACTTCATTGGCATCCTGAAGCATAATCCTATCATTGCGGGAAAATTCAACTATAATTACATCACAGGTGACTTCAGTTCTTACTTAAGGTGATTTTATAGATACGTTTTGCTACTATGACTTCTGATCTAGGTTAACTAATGTACAAGCTTTAATAATCCTAGGTCAATTAAGGTAGTTTAAGGGTTGATTGAAAACTTTATAATGCCAATGAATTTCATTTCCACAAGGCTTTCTCATCAGTCAACTTTAGACAGTTTAAAAGGATGCCCTGTTAGAATACAATACGAATTAACAGATGAGAGAGCCAAGAGTAGGTAACATAGCAAGCCAATAGCAATCGAGGGCTGAATTTGAAAAGTAGATGCAAATTGCAGAATGTTCATGCCTAAAAGCTCTTACATTGACCTACCCTGGAGTCTATGTATATACTATGCTTGGGCTAATAGGAAATTCATAATTTATATTAAATTAGAGGTTAGTCACCCCAGATGTCATATGCTGATTTAAGGACTGATGTCGCTCCTGCCCTATCACCAATTGGCACCGGTGAATGTGTAGTGTACTGTAGTGGTAACATTACCACGATACTCAGGAATCTGTATCAAATCCCCCCAGGGGTGTTGATAAGACCTAGGTGAGGTCGAAATGGCAGTCCAGTATGGATGAGATAGTCTCTTATGAAGCAAGGCTAAATTAACTTAAATGGAATCTAGATGCCTACTCATCTCATCGTAGAAAGACTCAGCTATTAGTCCTTAAATAATCTATCTTTCGTTTATAAGTAGATTATCAAGGGTACCAGTAGATCATTAAATCACTTTATCCTACCTAGGCTGACTAGGCTGTTATCCAAGAATTACTGATAGTATCAAAAACTACTTATATCACAAATAAGTAATGTTGTCGATTGCAATGGCAAACATATTTGTTTAGTGTTGCCTTGATCTTGTTTTCGCAACTTGGTCGCCGCATCTCTTTCTCTCAACCCCACTAGAAGATAGAACACAAAACAGGGACAAGGAGGGATGCCACAACGGTTGAACAGAAAATTGGTCAAGGGGATTGCCTTTACTTGTTACTTTGATAAGGTGTAACTCTGTACTTACCATGGTGCCTCTCACTGACGATGCCGACTACGATACCGACGAAACGTTTAGGAATGTACCAAGCCAATGGTAAAATTTTAGAAATCACAAATACTATAGCAGAGGATACGGGACTAGGTATGTTCCACAAGGTCTCCCTGACGCTCCGACCAAGTTGGGAAAACAAGGTCGAACTAACACTATAAGGCTAAAAGAGACTGCGACCAAACAGAAGGCCACACAATCTTGGTCTTCATATTTAGGATATATTTGCTTAATCAAAAATTCTCCTATAAATTTGAGTTGTGGAAGACTTGGCTTTGCTTGAATGTCGCATCTACCATGTGACCAACTGTCACCCTTTTTCGGTCTGCGCTACCTTCACAACTAGGCGAAATTGCCTGAATTCCCTCTTATTAGGTCGGAATTTCTCATTTAATCAAGCTCTATATTAGTTAATGAGCCTATTTTAATGATTGGCTAAAACAATTATCGACGAAAGTGTGACTTTAAAGAGAAGCCATGCTTCTTAATCCGGTTCCGAGTCTCGTTCGGGGTAAAGGGTGAGACGTAGGCAAGACCGAAACTGCAGTCCAAATCGGCTGGGAAAACTTAGAGGAGGCGAGACCTCGTTGGAAATTCCTCAGTGCTTATTTAATCTTTATAGACCTAGACTGATTAAAGTTTTTACTTAAGATCTAGAGATAGTCTTGAACCATAAAACGACTAGTTGTTTACGTAGCATACGCCAAAATGAGGCTTAGAAACAGGTTGATTCCATATTCTGAGAATAAATTATGGAATTATGTTGCAGTGGAATGGTCACATTGTTGCTATACTTCCAGGACTTTTTCCTTTTTAATAAAGTGTTTTTTTTTGTCGCAGATCGGCATCGTTATTAAGATAATCGGTTTTTTTCTCGAATCTTAATGTAGTCTTTGCTAGTATAAGTCGGGTTTATCTTTGCAGGACGTTGGGTTAGCCTGATTAGACGCCGTTTTGCCTTCTTTATGGAGCAAAGCTATATTTTGTTTAGCCTTCCTAGCATTAAGTAGCATAGTGGAGAGTAGTAATGTGCAAAATGGATAGGGTTTAGGAAAGACTATATTTGACTCCCAGGGATCTGCACAAAAACTCGTTATCTTTAAGAATAGCCAGTTTCTCTAAACTTGAATTAATAGCTGTAGCCATTTCTAATGTATGCTTCTCGAGTTTATTATTATACTGCCTCTGACAAGTAGGATATTTAGGAAAATAGTGAATAACCACTAGTATTCAGACTCTAAATCATTTATTCCCAGGTAAATTGTCAATATTTTATGATAGATATAAGCTTAGTTTGTTTAGAGTTCAGGAGTTCCCTCGTACGTTCTCGTTCTTGTAAGTCAGGAGTCTGAGGCTGTAACTTAACCTGGCTACTATAGCAGAAGACGCAGGACTGGGTGCGTTACACAATATCGCCCTTACGCTCTGACCAAGTTGCGCAAACCAGGTCGCCCTAGCCTAGTACATAATGAGTGGGTTTTCAAACTATCTGTGCGAGACTTTCATAATGGGAAAATATGCCAGCACTCCTTCATCAACTTAAGCGGCCTAGTATCATTGCAATTCGTACTGAACTAAACACAGCCAAAGAAGATAGCGACTTTATCTAAAGCCATGCCATCTCAATCTTAATATATTGATATCTTTAAGTTAGTTACTGGAAATAAGCCGAACAGAAAATTTTGTTCTTCCATACTTTTTTGCCTCACCTTCTAGTGATGCATTATCATTAAACTAGGATTGAAATTTTAACTTCATAAGCCCTCCAAACAGGATCTGAAATTAGATTATAGTCGATATGCTATATCTTTCTAACCATATTTGTTGATTATGCTCTAATATATTAATGCTACCCAGAAATTTATTGCAAGTCTTTAATATTTTTTTATAGTTTATTTCACCTTTATTATATTTTACTTTAGCCGGATAACCAGGGACTCTCGGTTCTTCATCATGCCATTCGCGCCGCCGACCGTGAGGCCATCTTCTTTATGATTCAGATAGGCGTTGACATGAATACTCGCATTCAGGACTCAGAAGAGTTGACGCCATTACATCTGGCTGTATTGACCGGTGTCCCAGAAGATATCATGCGTAGCCTGGTGAGAATTTATTCATTGGATTACTCAACCAAATCACCTCTTTTTAGTGGATTCAGTGGGCGCCTGTAGAGAGGCCGCAGCTTCCTGGGGCGCCGCGGCCTACAGTTTGGGAATCACTGCCTAATACCATGTCTATGATTTTCTATGTCCTAGTCTCTTCTGTGCCAATC